GCGTTGTCATTGATTGTTTGAGATAAGAGTTTGATTCTTCAAGAGATGCTACTGTACAATTTTAAACCAAATAGCTGAAGCGGCACAATACTTACCTGAAAAGCACACTCTGCGTTGTCATTAATTGTTTGAGATAAGAGTTTGATTCTTCAAGAGATACTACTGTACAATTTTAAACCAAATAGCTGAAGCGGCACAATACTTACCTGAAAAGCACACTCTGCAAAGTCATTGATTCTTTAAGATAAGGAAGGATTGATGGTTTAGTGGTAGAATTCTCAAATGCCATGTACCAGGCCTTGCACAATGCACAACTGAGTTCTGAATATTAATCCTTCACTCACAGAACTTCAAAAGCCTGATCAATTCTGCAGTTTGGTTAGCTACAAATCACACTCTGAGAAGTCGTTTGAGCTTGAAGGTAAGCATTGGTGGTTCAGTGGTAGAATTCTAGCTTGCCATGTTGGAGGCCTGGGTTCGATTCCCGCCAATGCACAAGTGAATCTTGAATATTTAGTCTTTACTCACAAACTTCATTAAACTTATCAATTCTGCAGTATGGTTAGCTGCAAATCACACTCTGTGAAGTCCTTTGAACTTAAAGACAAGCATTGGTGGTTCAGTGGTAGAATTCTAGCTTGCCATGTTGGAGACCTGGGTTCGATTCCCAGCCAATGCACAAGCGAATTTTGAACATTCAGCCTTCTGGCAAAGAAATTGAAATGCTTTATCAATTCTGCCCAAACTAGGGTGGTGGACAAACTCCATGCTGCTGAAATATACAAGAGATGCTACTTTACAATTTTAAACCACATGGCTGAATCAGCACAATACTTACCTGAAAAGCTCACTCTGCGTTGTCATTGATTGTTTGAGATAAGAGTTTGATTCTTCAAGAGATGCTACTGTACAATTTTAAACCAAATAGCTGAAGCGGCACAATACTTACCTGAAAAGCACACTCTGCAAAGTCATTGATTCTTTAAGATAAGGAAGGATTGATGGTTTAGTGGTAGAATTCTCAAAAGCCATGTACCAGGCCTTGCACAATGCACAACTGAGTTCTGAATATTAATCCTTCACTCACAGAACTTCAAAAGCCTGATCAATTCTGCAGTTTGGTTAGCTGCAAATCACACTCTGAGAAGTCTTTTGAACTTGAAGGTAAGCATTGGTGTTTCAGTGGTAGAATTCTAGCTTGCCATGTTGGAGACCTGGGTTCGATTCCCAGCCAATTCACAAGCGAATTTTGAACATTGAGCCTTCTGGCAAAGAAATTGAAATGCTTTATAAATTCTGCCCAAACTAGGGTTTTGGACAAACTCCATGCTGCTGAAATATACAAGAGATGCTACTTTACAATTTTAAACCACATGGCTGAATCAGCACAATACTTACCTGAAAAGCTCACTCTGCGTTCTCATTGATTGTTTGAGATAAGAGTTTGATTCTTCAAGAGATGCAACTGTACAATTTTAAACCAAATAGCTGTTGCGGCACAATACTTACCTGAAAAGCTCACTCTGCGTTGTCATTAATTGTTTGAGATAAGAGTTTGATTCTTCAAGAGATACTACTGTACAATTTTAAACCAAATAGCTGAAGCGGCACAATACTTACCTGAAAAGCACACTCTGCAAAGTCATTGATTCTTTAAGATAAGGAAGGATTGATGGTTTAGTGGTAGAATTCTCAAATGCCATGTACCAGGCCTTGCACAATGCACAACTGAGTTCTGAATATTAATCCTTCACTCACAGAACTTCAAAAGCCTGATCAATTCTGCAGATTGGTTAGCTGCAAATCACACTCTGAGAAGTCGTTTGAGCTTGAAGGTAAGCGTTGGTGGTTCAGTGGTAGAATTCTAGCTTGCCATGTTGGAGGCCTGGGTTCGATTCCCAGCCAATGAACAAGTGAATATTGAATATTTAGTCTTCACTCACAGCACTTCATTAAACTTATCAATTCTGCAGTATGGTTAGCTGCAAATCACACTCTGTGAAGTCCTTTGAACTTAAAGACAAGCATTGGTGGTTCAGTGGTAGAATTCTAGCTTGCCATGTTGGAGACCTGGGTTCGATTCCCAGCCAATGCCCAAGCTAATTTTGAACATTGAGCCTTCTGGCAAAGAAATTGGAATGCTTTATCAATTCTGCCCAAACTAGGGTGGTGGACAAACTCCATGCTGCTGAAATATACAAGAGATGCTACTTTACAATTTTAAACCACATGGCTGAATCAGCACAATACTTACCTGAAAAGCTCACTCTGCGTTGTCATTGATTGTTTGAGATAAGAGTTTGATTCTTCAAGAGATGCTACTGTACAATTTTAAACCAAATAGCTGAAGCGGCACAATACTTACCTGAAAAGCACACTCTGCAAAGTCATTGATTCTTTAAGATAAGGAAGGATTGATGGTTTAGTGGTAGAATTCTCAAAAGCCATGTACCAGGCCTTGCACAATGCACAACTGAGTTCTGAATATTAATCCTTCACTCACAGAACTTCAAAAGCCTGATCAATTCTGCAGTTTGGTTAGCTGCAAATCACACTCTGAGAAGTCTTTTGAACTTGAAGGTAAGCATTGGTGTTTCAGTGGTAGAATTCTAGCTTGCCATGTTGGAGACCTGGGTTTGATTCCCAGCCAATTCACAAGCGAATTTTGAACATTGAGCCTTCTGGCAAAGAAATTGAAATGCTTTATAAATTCTGCCCAAACTAGGGTGGTGGACAAACTCTATGCTGCTGAAATATACAAGAGATGCTACTTTACAATTTTAAACCAAATAGCTGTTGCGGCACAATACTTACCTGAAAAGCTCACTCTGCGTTGTCATTAATTGTTTGAGATAAGAGTTTGATTCTTCAAGAGATACTACTGTACAATTTTAAACCAAATAGCTGAAGCGGCACAATACTTACCTGAAAAGCACACTCTGCAAAGTCATTGATTCTTTAAGATAAGGAAGGATTGATGGTTTAGTGGTAGAATTCTCAAATGCCATGTACCAGGCCTTGCACAATGCACAACTGAGTTCTGAATATTAATCCTTCACTCACAGAACTTCAAAAGCCTGATCAATTCTGCAGATTGGTTAGCTGCAAATCACACTCTGAGAAGTCCTTTGAGCTTGAAGGTAAGCGTTGGTGGTTCAGTGGTAGAATTCTAGCTTGCCATGTTGGAGGCCGGGTGATTCCCAGCCAATGAACAAGTGAATATTGAATATTTGTCTTACTACAAACTTATTAAACTTATCAATTCTGCAGTATGGTTAGCTGCAAATCACACTCTGTGAAGTCCTTTGAACTTAAAGACAAGCATTGGTGGTTCAGTGGTAGAATTCTAGCTTGCCATGTTGGAGACCTGGGTTCGATTCCCAGCCAATGCCCAAGCTAATTTTGAACATTGAGCCTTCTGGCAAAGAAATTGGAATGCTTTATCAATTCTGCCCAAACTAGGGTGGTGGACAAACTCCATGCTGCTGAAATATACAAGAGATGCTACTTTACAATTTTAAACCACATGGCTGAATCAGCACAATACTTACCTGAAAAGCTCACTCTGCGTTGTCATTGATTGTTTGAGATAAGAGTTTGATTCTTCAAGAGATGCTACTGTACAATTTTAAACCAAATAGCTGAAGCGGCACAATACTTACCTGAAAAGCACACTCTGCAAAGTCATTGATTCTTTAAGATAAGGAAGGATTGATGGTTTAGTGGTAGAATTCTCAAAAGCCATGTACCAGGCCTTGCACAATGCACAACTGAGTTCTGAATATTAATCCTTCACTCACAGAACTTCAAAAGCCTGATCAATTCTGCAGTTTGGTTAGCTGCAAATCACACTCTGAGAAGTCTTTTGAACTTGAAGGTAAGCATTGGTGTTTCAGTGGTAGAATTCTAGCTTGCCATGTTGGAGACCTGGGTTTGATTCCCAGCCAATTCACAAGCGAATTTTGAACATTGAGCCTTCTGGCAAAGAAATTGAAATGCTTTATAAATTCTGCCCAAACTAGGGTGGTGGACAAACTCTATGCTGCTGAAATATACAAGAGATGCTACTTTACAATTTTAAACCACATGGCTGAATCAGCACAATACTTAACTGAAAAGCTCACTCTGCGTTGTCATTGATTGTTTGAGATAAGAGTTTGATTCTTCAAGAGATGCTACTGTACAATTTTAAACCAAATAGCTGAAGCGGCACAATACTTACCTGAAAAGCACACTCTGCCAAGTCATTGATTCTTTAAGATAAGGAAGGATTGATGGTTTAGTGGTAGAATTCTCAAATGCCATGTACCAGGGCTTGCACAATGCACAACTGAGTACTGAATATTAATCCTTTACTCACAGAACTTCAAAAGCCTGATCAATTCTGAGTTTGGTTAGCTGCAAATCACACTCTGAGAAGTCTTTTGAACTTGAAGGTAAGCATTGGTGTTTCAGTGGTAGAATTCTAGCTTGCCATGTTGGAGACCTGGGTTTGATTCCCAGCCAATGCACAAGCAAATTTTGAACATTCAGCCTTCTCGCAAAGAAATTGACAAGCTTTATCAATTCTGCCCAAACTAGGGTGGTGGACAAACTCCATGCTGCTGAAATATACAAGAGATGCTACTTTACAATTTTAAACCACATGGCTGAATCAGCACAATACTTACCTGAAAAGCTCACTCTGCGTTGTCATTGATTGTTTGAGATAAGAGTTTGATTCTTCAAGAGATGCTACTGTACAATTTTAAACCAAATAGCTGAAGCGGCACAATACTTACCTGAAAAGCACACTCTGCAAAGTCATTGATTCTTTAAGATAAGGAAGGATTGATGGTTTAGTGGTAGAATTCTCAAATGCCATGTACCAGGGCTTGCACAATGCACAACTGAGTTCTGAATGTTAATCCTTCAATCACAGAACTTCAAAAGCCTGATAAATTCTGCAGATTGGTTAGCTGCAAATCACACTCTGAGAAATCTTTTGAACTTGAAGGTAAGCATTGGTGGTTCAGTGGTAGAATTCTAGCTTGCCATGTTGGAGGCCCTGGGTTCGATTCCCAGCCAATGCAATGCGATTTTGAACATTGAGCCTTCTCGCAAAGAAATTGACATGCTTTATCAATTCTGCCCAAACTAGGGTTTTGGACAAACTCCATGCTGCTGAAATATACAAGAGATGCTACTTTACAATTTTAAACCACATGGCTGAATCAGCACAATACTTACCTGAAAAGCTCACTCTGCGTTCTCATTGATTGTTTGAGATAAGAGTTTGATTCTTCAAGAGATGCAACTGTACAATTTTAAACCAAAATAGCTGTGGTGCGCACAATACTTACCTGAAAAGCTCACTCTGCGTTGTCATTAATTGTTTGAGATAAGAGTTTGATTCTTCAAGAGATACTACTGTACAATTTTAAACCAAATAGCTGAAGCGGCACAATACTTACCTGAAAAGCACACTCTGCAAAGTCATTGATTCTTTAAGATAAGGAAGGATTGATGGTTTAGTGGTAGAATTCTCAAATGCCATGTACCAGGCCTTGCACAATGCACAACTGAGTTCTGAATATTAATCCTTCACTCACAGAACTTCAAAAGCCTGATCAATTCTGCAGTTTGGTTAGCTGCAAATCACACTCTGAGAAGTCTTTTGAACTTGAAGGTAAGCATTGGTGTTTCAGTGGTAGAATTCTAGCTTGCCATGTTGGAGACCTGGGTTTGATTCCCCGCCAATGCACAAGCGAATTTTGAACATATGGAGCCTTCTGGCAAAGAAATTGAAATGCTTTATCAATTCTGCCCAAACTAGGGTGGTGGACAAACTCATGCTGCTGAAATATACAAGAGATGCTACTTTACAATTTTAAACCACATGGCTGAATCAGCACAATACTTACCTGAAAAGCTCACTCTGTGCGTTGTCATTGATTGTTTGAGATAAGAGTTTGATTCTTCAAGAGATGCTACTGTACAATTTTAAACCAAATAGCTGAAGCGGCACAATACTTACCTGAAAAGCACACTCTGCCAAGTCATTGATTCTTTAAGATAAGGAAGGATTGATGGTTTAGTGGTAGAATTCTCAAATGCCATGTACCAGGGCTTGCACAATGCACAACTGAGTTCTGAATATTAATCCTTCACTCACAGAACTTCAAAAGCCTGATCAATTCTGCAGTTTGGTTAGCTGCAAATCACACTCTGAGAAGTGTCTTTGAACTTGAAGGTAAGCATTGGTGTTTCAGTGGTAGAATTCTAGCTTGCCATGTTGGAGACCTGGGTTTGATTCCCAGCCAATGCACAAGCAAATTTTGAACATTCAGCCTTCTCGCAAAGAAATTGACAAGCTTTATCAATTCTGCCCAAACTAGGGTGGTGGACAAACTCCATGCTGCTGAAATATACAAGAGATGCTACTTTACAATTTTAAACCACATGGCTGAATCAGCACAATACTTACCTGAAAAGCTCACTCTGCGTTGTCATTGATTGTTTGAGATAAGAGTTTGATTCTTCAAGAGATGCTACTGTACAATTTTAAACCAAATAGCTGAAGCGGCACAATACTTACCTGAAAAGCACACTCTGCAAAGTCATTGATTCTTTAAGATAAGGAAGGATTGATGGTTTAGTGGTAGAATTCTCAAATGCCATGTACCAGGGCTTGCACAATGCACAACTGAGTTCTGAATGTTAATCCTTCAATCAGAGAACTTCAAAAGCCTGATCAATTCTGCAGATTGGTTAGCTGCAAATCACACTCTGAGAAATCGTTTGAACTTGAAGGTAAGCATTGGTGGTTCAGTGGTAGAATTCTAGCTTGCCATGTTGGAGGCCTGGGTTCGATTCCCAGCCAATGCACAAGCGAATTTTGAACATTGCGCCTTCTGGCAAAGAAATTGACATGCTTTATCAATTCTGCCCAAACTAGGGTTTTGGACAAACTCCATGCTGCTGAAATATACAAGAGATGCTACTTTACAATTTTAAACCACATGGCTGAATCAGCACAATACTTACCTGAAAAGCTCACTCTGCGTTCTCATTGATTGTTTGAGATAAGAGTTTGATTCTTCAAGAGATGCAACTGTACAATTTTAAACCAAATAGCTGTTGCGGCACAATACTTACCTGAAAAGCTCACTCTGCGTTGTCATTAATTGTTTGAGATAAGAGTTTGATTCTTCAAGAGATACTACTGTACAATTTTAAACCAAATAGCTGAAGCGGCACAATACTTACCTGAAAAGCACACTCTGCAAAGTCATTGATTCTTTAAGATAAGGAAGGATTGATGGTTTAGTGGTAGAATTCTCAAATGCCATGTACCAGGCCTTGCACAATGCACAACTGAGTTCTGAATATTAATCCTTCACTCACAGAACTTCAAAAGCCTGATCAATTCTGCAGTTTGGTTAGCTACAAATCACACTCTGAGAAGTCGTTTGAGCTTGAAGGTAAGCATTGGTGGTTCAGTGGTAGAATTCTAGCTTGCCATGTTGGAGGCCTGGGTTCGATTCCCAGCCAATGCACAAGTGAATCTTGAATATTTAGTCTTCACTCACAGAACTTCATTAAACTTATCAATTCTGCAGTATGGTTAGCTGCAAATCACACTCTGTGAAGTCCTTTGAACTTAAAGACAAGCATTGGTGGTTCAGTGGTAGAATTCTAGCTTGCCATGTTGGAGACCTGGGTTCGATTCCCAGCCAATGCACAAGCGAATTTTGAACATTCAGCCTTCTGGCAAAGAAATTGAAATGCTTTATCAATTCTGCCCAAACTAGGGTGGTGGACAAACTCCATGCTGCTGAAATATACAAGAGATGCTACTTTACAATTTTAAACCACATGGCTGAATCAGCACAATACTTACCTGAAAAGCTCACTCTGCGTTGTCATTGATTGTTTGAGATAAGAGTTTGATTCTTCAAGAGATGCTACTGTACAATTTTAAACCAAATAGCTGAAGCGGCACAATACTTACCTGAAAAGCACACTCTGCAAAGTCATTGATTCTTTAAGATAAGGAAGGATTGATGGTTTAGTGGTAGAATTCTCAAAAGCCATGTACCAGGCCTTGCACAATGCACAACTGAGTTCTGAATATTAATCCTTCACTCACAGAACTTCAAAAGCCTGATCAATTCTGCAGTTTGGTTAGCTGCAAATCACACTCTGAGAAGTCTTTTGAACTTGAAGGTAAGCATTGGTGTTTCAGTGGTAGAATTCTAGCTTGCCATGTTGGAGACCTGGGTTTGATTCCCAGCCAATGCACAAGCAAATTTTGAACATTCAGCCTTCTCGCAAAGAAATTGACAAGCTTTATCAATTCTGCCCAAACTAGGGTGGTGGACAAACTCCATGCTGCTGAAATATACAAGAGATGCTACTTTACAATTTTAAACCACATGGCTGAATCAGCACAATACTTACCTGAAAAGCTCACTCTGCGTTGTCATTGATTGTTTGAGATAAGAGTTTGATTCTTCAAGAGATGCTACTGTACAATTTTAAACCAAATAGCTGAAGCGGCACAATACTTACCTGAAAAGCACACTCTGCAAAGTCATTGATTCTTTAAGATAAGGAAGGATTGATGGTTTAGTGGTAGAATTCTCAAATGCCATGTACCAGGGCTTGCACAATGCACAACTGAGTTCTGAATGTTAATCCTTCAATCAGAGAACTTCAAAAGCCTGATCAATTCTGCAGATTGGTTAGCTGCAAATCACACTCTGAGAAATCGTTTGAACTTGAAGGTAAGCATTGGTGGTTCAGTGGTAGAATTCTAGCTTGCCATGTTGGAGCCTGGGGTCGATTCCCAGCCAATGCACAAGCGAATTTTGAACATTGAGCCTTCTCGCAAAGAAATTGACATGCTTTATCAATTCTGCCCAAACTAGGGTTTTGGACAAACTCCATGCTGCTGAAATATACAAGAGATGCTACTTTACAATTTTAAACCACATGGCTGAATCAAGCAAAATACTTACCTGAAAAGCTCACTCTGCGTTCTCATTGATTGTTTGAGATAAGAGTTTGATTCTTCAAGAGATGCAACTGTACAATTTTAAACCAAATAGCTGTTGCGGGCACAATACTTACCTGAAAAGCTCACTCTGTTGTCATTAATTGTTTGAGATAAGAGTTTGATTCTTCAAGAGATACTACTGTACAATTTTAAACCAAATAGCTGAAGCGGCACAATACTTACCTGAAAAGCACACTCTGCAAAGTCATTGATTCTTTAAGATAAGGAAGGATTGATGGTTTAGTGGTAGAATTCTCAAATGCCATATACCAGGCCTTGCACAATGCACAACTGAGTTCTGAATATTAATCCTTCACTCACAGAACTTCAAAAGCCTGATCAATTCTGCAGTTTGGTTAGCTACAAATCACACTCTGAGAAGTCGTTTGAGCTTGAAGGTAAGCATTGGTGGTTCAGTGGTAGAATTCTAGCTTGCCATGTTGGAGACCTGGGTTCGATTCCCAGCCAATGCACAAGCGAATTTTGAACATTCAGCCTTCTGGCAAAGAAATTGAAATGCTTTATCAATTCTGCCCAAACTAGGGTGGTGGACAAACTCCATGCTGCTGAAATATACAAGAGATGCTACTTTACAATTTTAAACCACATGGCTGAATCAGCACAATACTTACCTGAAAAGCTCACTCTGCGTTGTCATTGATTGTTTGAGATAAGAGTTTGATTCTTCAAGAGATGCTACTGTACAATTTTAAACCAAATAGCTGAAGCGGCACAATACTTACCTGAAAAGCACACTCTGCAAAGTCATTGATTCTTTAAGATAAGGAAGGATTGATGGTTTAGTGGTAGAATTCTCAAAAGCCATGTACCAGGCCTTGCACAATGCACAACTGAGTTCTGAATATTAATCCTTCACTCACAGAACTTCAAAAGCCTGATCAATTCTGCAGTTTGGTTAGCTGCAAATCACACTCTGAGAAGTCTTTTGAACTTGAAGGTAAGCATTGGTGTTTCAGTGGTAGAATTCTAGCTTGCCATGTTGGAGACCTGGGTTTGATTCCCAGCCAATGC